TCAAAACTGTTCTATTTCAAACTGCGCATGCATTTCTCGAAATACATACTAATTAGGTAACTTATCACTGATAAAAGTCACCGAAAACATTTTGAGCAATTTTGAGCAATAGTACTAGAGTGAAATTTAAACGTGCCTCTGCATTCTCCATGAATATCGCAACTTGCTATGATCATGGTAAAGAGAAAACCTGGGCTTACTTTCAACATTTAGCTGGAGTCCGATCGAAAACGTGTCTCAAAAAATACTTTTACATCATTTTTCCGATTATTTTTTCAGCTCGTAACGATAGAATCAGTCAATTTAGAACTAACATGTATGCTATCGGAAAGCATTTTGGCACAATTTTACTGAAAAGACGAGTTTTTCATTGCTCATGAATATTAATGTATGCAAATGAGACGATTGTTTCAACCAATCGTGTCATGCAACTCCACCCCCCCTGATTGTATTAAAGAGCGGCAGTTGTCGTGCCGCGTCGTGTTCGATATGGGACTCATAGCGACGTATACAACGCGTATAAAATACATTGTTTATTTACATGAAATTCGAACACGCGCTGCGCGACGACTACTGCGCTTTAAGTTAGTAAGAATTGCCATTTTAGCATTTTCGTGCTTTAAAAATGCATTCTGTTTGTCTATTACATATTCAAATGATTCAGAAATTATCATTTTAACAGATAATTATGAAATCATTATTACAAGATGTACTCCACCCTTCTTCACCCGTACTCGGTTACAAAACCTTCAAACATAAATATCTAAATGTGTAACTCAGGGAAATATATTGGCAAGGTTTGCGCGATCTGTAAACGTATATGGCATAAACGTAAAATATCTGAAAAAATGTTTTTCCTGGGAACCTTTAAAAACAAATGCTTAAAATTCCCCACGGTCCAACAAAACCACGCCATCTTGCGACGGCTCCTAACTGCGCCGTCTGCTTTTGTTTTATTTTGGTTCATGGGAAAAACATACTTTGTCTCGCGCGATAATAATGAGCATAGCAGGACCACATTTGTTTACAATATCGTTCAAAGCATTGTGTAATTGGTACTATTTTCTCCACCGAAACGAATGACGGGAATATCACTTACATTACATTAACCATCAAATATGGGGATAATGATATAATTGGTTTCGGTCTTGGCAATATAGTTTGGTGAATATTAATGTTTTTGTCACGTTACATTGTGTCACCTGACTAGAGGACAGGTGTGACAAAGTCACAAAAATAAATAAATAAATTAAACTAAAGAAAAAATATTGACTTTTTCCGCGAAAGTAGGGACAAATCTATATTTTGGCCAATACCATGGCAACGGTGGATCAGAATGATTTTGTTTGTTTTTGTTTTTCTCAGGAAAGTGCAGGTGCGATCCGCTTGTCAAGTTTGAACGTAAGCGGCCCAGCCAAAAGAAATACAGAAGAGTTATACGTACATGCCTGTGTACCAGTGTTGCAATTGCTGGGCTGGAGGTTAATTGAATTCAACTTCAAAATGAAATGAAATGGGACGGGTTCATTTCGGTTGAACCAGGTCACCGAACCAAACACCTCACCGTGGAAGGAGAACATTGTCTGTGGTGTGTGAGAATAACTTCTATATAAATTGTTTAGTTGTAAATAGAATGCTTTGCATAGTTTCTATGTTTACTTATACTCTGCGTGAGCCACGTCAATCAAACGTACGCGTCATCGCAGCGGGCAGTGGCAGATTCAGTAGGGGAGCATTTTAAGGGGTGCGCTCGTTCTCATCCAGTGGTCACTCTTACACGTATATCCTACAATGCAATACGGCATTGGCATCTTTGTAAAGATGCGCCCCTCTAACTAAACATTCTGCTTCAGCCCTGAAGGGTCTGGCATATATTGGCGAAATTACACAATCTAGTGTAGTCGGTTGACGCCATGTCAGTCGACTATATTCGGTTGTTTAGATGTAAGTGCAATTGTCGGCCAAGACTTGTTCCATTTTCGCGTTAAGTCGACCCATTTCTTATAACTGTCTGTCGAATACAGTCGGCCGTCAGTAATTTCGTATTTATGAGCAAGATTGTCGCTAGGTGAGCTACAGTTGCCGGCAAATTACACCTACACGTTGGTTTGGAGTTTTGAATCGCATGGGTATGTGAACACGTATTACACAGAAGCAATACGACGTCATATTAATTAGCAGGGCCTTTATTCTCGCATCCGTAAATATGCAATTGTTTTTTTTTTTATTCTCGATTGAATACGAATTACACGGTTGTGTTGTTTACACATAGTAAGTGTCTTCAGTGTCATAGTACGGAACGCGGGTTTGTTATGATTGGTTTAAGTTGAGTTGTTGAGTGGTTCCTAAAGACGGTCAAGGCTATATAGTAAACTCGGTGTAAAGTTAAAATCACCATGAACAAGTTTCGTCACTTCCACTTTACATTAAATTATCCATATGCTACGTAATTCTTTTCATGAAATGACATGCACGTTGCTGTCCGATACTGAAATACGTTAATATATGAATAAATAAATATGTCATTTAGATTTAATCACGGGAAATCGCGAAAATGTATATTCTATTTACTAAATGTCGCTGTCGCAAGGTAAATGTGACAGATTTGGTTATATATTGAACACAGTATCGCAAACAGTGAAAACGCAATAAAAAAGCTGCTCTAGGAAGAAACGTTCTGTTAGTGAATAGGTGGGTGCGTATTTTTATGATGAAATGTACGTTAACCTACAAATTCATATAATGTTGGCAATTAGCCAACGCGTACTACACTATTTAGACGTATGAAGGGTGTATACCGGGAGAAGCCTGCAAAACAACAATACTGACACACGCTTTTCACGTCACTGAAATGTACGTTACCGGGATAGTGAAGTGAGGGCGATGGACCCTAGTAACACCAAAGTAAATCAATAGGTCCTGGTGACGACTTTGCAGTTTAGAGTGGGTTGTACCCGCAAACAAAGTAAATAAATAGTATGACCTGGAGCAGGCAGACCATGAGCAGTTTATCGTTGTTGTTTTTTCTTTCGTTTTTTTCTTTTTTTTTTTTTCTTTTTTTTTTTTTTTTTTTTATTTTCAGGAATATGTGACTGGACGTGCACTTCAGAAGGAATGTGACTGTCCTCCAAGAAAACAGCATTGCTGACAACCGGTGTCGTCGTTCTCACGGTCTGTTGTACTGTACTGTGTCCGACTGTGTAACTATTAAAATATAAGTACAAGGCCTGTTTACGCCCATAAACGCATTGTTCGGTGGCAAAATGTCTTTATAAACATATGAGAACACACAATTTGCCATTTAATTATTTCTTTTTATATGTACTATATTCGGATAGACACCACCAGAGAAGAGAAGAGACATAAGAGAGACATAACAACGCATAAACAGAATCAGTTTGTTTATGAGATTCCATGACAACGACGCGGGGCGCCACCACCGTGTGACTTGGGCGATGTTAAATTGTCAACGCAGTTTAGTCACGTATCCTAGCGCAGTGCAGCTTAAAAGTCGTGGTCGTTAGCAGTTTTTTTGAATTTAATTCGAGGTATGTAACGTTAGTATTATCTTTTTTCCTTCCCACAATGATGATTGCTGCAAAAAGGAATTGCAAATTTTAATTCTTACTTTCAGTCTAAAACTTTTTAGTTCCTATTTTAAATCGTGATTCAACCCACTTCAAGAACGGAGTATATTTGTGAATAGTTAAACAATATAAATAGACTACAATACATATAAATATATGAACATTAAACTCAACTATTTACACGTGGGAGGGACACATGTATACATATCACACAGTAAGTACGATAGAAAAAACATAATATTTTGAAATTTGTTATCAATTTTTGTTACAAAAGTAACTTGTATATTTAAAAATGAGTTGGACTGCGTTAGTATTATTTTTATATTGACAACATTGCTCATGGTTATGTACTATTAAGAATGACAAATTCAGGAAAAAAGTCTACGATTACCTATTAATGAAAACAAAATACACATTTTGCAATAAAATCATTACTAAGTTTGGTCTTAACAATTTTTTGAGAGCTGTTAGTAACCGTTGTAAAAGCGTGCGTGCGATCTCGATTTTGGGACTCGTCATTGGGATGTTTTGTTTACTTGTTGCTAGGTTTTTTGACGGTGTCGATGATACATATCTGTCATAGTTCCGAGTCCGCTAATGCGCAACACACACCCAGTTATGCTTTGAATTACGTCATTAATTATCATTTATTTTCACAGTAACAATATTTTCATTATGGCGTTGAACTTAGCCGTTGTTTTATTACTGGTTGCTGTGACTCAAGGCGACATCCGTAAGTGTTTTTGTTTTTGTTTTAAATTAGATTTTAGATATAAATCTTCAGTTTCAGTCATTCTAACAACTAACTGTATACAAAATATGCTCTCACACGAAGTCTAGGCAGTGTTTGGACGTATTGCAGTTTAGTACAGTTCCTGGATTGGGGTGATGAATAAAATATGGTACGAAAGCTGATGTAAAAAAAACGCGTAAAAGGGGTGTTATTTATTTATTTGACGTGTTTACGCATGTACCGTATTTAGGGTCGAAAGTGTGAAAAAAAAGGAATCTCATGAATTCATGTTACCTAAACTTAGAAACAGTATGATTTTAGTATGTAAATAAGGTATCTATTTTAGGTTTCTGCAAAAATAATTACGTGTTTAGAGGTTTTTCGAAATGTATACTTCAACATGAATACCAGGTCTGACTTGGAGTACCCATCCCCAGGTACAGTTGGCCTCTTGATGATGTAACAGCTGATTGGAGGCGCGTAGAAGTGGGTCCTAAAAAATTATCAGTGGTGTTTATTTTCTGCGAGTTTCTTACCATTTTTTTTTTTTAAATGTTGTGATTTTGTCGGCATATTGTTCCCAGCGCCTCCCTGGGGGCAAGTCTATGGCTGGTTCCAACGATCTACTGTGCAGTCAAAATATAAAAAAAAAACTCCTAAAGCTGCCTAAATAAGGAAAATGAACATAATTAAAACTATAGACTAATACCCAAGGTATTTCGGTTACGTAGCTGTTTAACTCTCCCCATAAAGTACTGGACTTGGAGACCGGTGTTGTAAGCGTAAGCGAATGGTGCATAACGCCTTTGCAAGCAGTAATAATGTTTGTTTGTTTGTTTTTTCATTTAAAGAAAATTCATATGAATTTTGATTGATTGACCAATTGAATTCAGTTTCTCAAAAAAAAAGGTGTACAGTATCCTTAAGCAGACAATGAATTCAACTAAAACACATTCATACTGATTTAACCCTTCTAGATATCGCTGAACCAACATTCACAGTTACCAGTCCCACCTGTGACGATCTTGAATACTACCCAGGAGTTGCACAAGAAATCACAGTATCTATCGTCATCACCAATGATGGTAGCGAACAACTTCCTGCTAGTGACAATAACCTCGAAGTGTCGTTCTGGACCTACCCACTACCCGATGGTGTCACTGGTCTGGCGGGCCAACAAGATCAATACATGCAGCTGACTGGCAGCACGTTCACGCTTGCAGCCGGTTCTTTGAGCGTCGCCATCCCTGCTGGGGCTAGCAGCACCGTGACTGGCTCCACTAGCATTTCCATGCCGTCCGATAACTGCGCAACATTCGAGCAGCTTTGCGTGGGACTGGGTCTTTCGGATGCAGCTTTAGGGGCCGGTGCGGGTATGGGAGGCAATGGCACAGATAGCATGACCGGGGCGTGCCTAGACTGGGGCTGTACAGCAGGACAGATGGTCGGGGAACTAGATTGCGGTGAGTTATGTATTTCATTCTTATAGGTGAACCGCAAAGATAACTATATAGCATACATACTACGTTGAATACAGCTTAGCAGAACAAAATAAATAATTGTGATGAATATTTTGGCAGGAAGTTTAATGGCCAACAGTGTATTACTGAATAAAGAGAAAAAAGAGAATTCATTCAGAATCCTACGTTTGAAGCAGTTTGAGCCAATTATAATTTTACTCAACCGAATGTGTTGCTGCAAATGTATTCAATGCAATATTATATAAAGGAAAACCATTATCAACCAGGAAATTAATTCACTGAAATATTTGTAATTTTTTTGAAATATCATGAATAATGTATGACTTTTTCAATCGGTGTCAGCGAGCAAAATTTAGAGATCAAAATTGTTTCTTTTTTGGTATCCCGATGATATAACATCCTAAAAATGAAACTATGACGAATTTGATGAGGTATAAACTTGAATTCGAACCTATTTATCATGAACATTCTGTAATCAGAATTTATATCAACGTAGAATAAAAAAAGTTTTTATTATGTTAAACTATATTTTCTTTTCCATACAGATGGACCTGAGGATGCCGCCACGAGCATTACCATGACCTCGGTAACAATGCTGTTCTCTTTGTGCTGTACGCTGATAAGCCTGGTATAAATAAATTATACCTGCTGGGACTGGGAACCATGGCAACTGCATAAACCATAACATGTTATGATGAATATGACGTATATTATGAGGATAGATTTAGAAAATAATATAACTGCAACACTACTTTTACTACTACTTTGCGTACTTTTATTATGTAGTATTTGAATGTCTCAAAACAATCGAACTGAGTGACGGCGTCATGGTTACGGAAGCACAATGCTTTCAGTGTGTGTTCTGAAGTACAGACAGCTACTGATATACAGTCATTATTCAAAATCGGGAAAATATCAATAGCTAAATAATTAATATTTTGTTATTGTTTAATGTACATCCGTTGGAAGATGCGTGACAGCGAAGGCTGTAATAATAGACGAAGTTCGGGGTAGCGGATTGGGCATTCCCGTCAATGAACCAATGGTGTCGGGGTGGTGGACGCT